TATATATATATATATATATATATATATATATATATATATTGGCTTTGCACAATGTTTTGACGTTTCTGAAATGTGCGCATAGGAGAATACCACGAGTATACAAATATACTTATTTTAAGCTGTTGACTTGATGTTCTCAAACTCATTAATAATTCATCAAGTTTTAACAAAGGAAATCATGACCTACGGTGTTTGGATATCTGAGATTTTTGCGAGTTTATTTCTTCGGTTTCTTCTTAGTTTTAGTGTCGATTGAGAAGATTTATCAAACACGCAAGACCGTGTCTGCTCACATTTCCAAACACCTCGAGGTTCGTCAAATATACTCCCCCACGAATGGTATTTTCAACTCTTTTCTCGGTGTTTGGAAATGTGGTCAAACACGGTCTTTCGTGTTAGATAAATAAATAATTACCTGATTGCTTTCAAAAGAGTTACATCGTACCTTGATGCTCTTCTTTACAGGGTGCAAGCTCATGAACAACACTTTGATGATATCCGCTTGTCATCTTTACTGTTGCGAGGGTGACATGTGTAATAGCGCTGTTCACCTTCCGGGGTTTGTTCGCAGGCTGCTCTCAAGGCTCAACTAAAAATCCTGATAGATCAAAAGTTTCCTGAAAGGTTAAAGTTTGGGCATCTGCTTATGTTCTGCAAAAGTCAGAATTGTGGTCAATTAGTGCTATAAGTCTTATTGACATGGACAAAGACAACTTGAACGTCGGTTTATTCATTCATGTAATCTCGTTCCCAAAGCGCGTTGGAAACTGCAAACGTAGTAAATACAAATACCGATTTGATGCCCATGGTTGTAGATTCTTAACTGTTGTAGTTTTTCTCTTCGACCAAGGGACGCACACATGGAATATATTTTTTTACTGGCCATCTTGATTTTAATTTAAAACGTTACAGAAAAATAGGTCCGCAATATGTATATGCGCGTACCTTGCGTCCGGGAGACTTGCTAAGTTTTTGCAGTGCAAGGAGAAGGGAAGAGTGTTTATTGGAAACGGGATATTTTGGTTCTTTTCCTGACACAGTGTAAAATTTCAAAGGTAAACTGGTAAATATGAATGCCATTGTTAATTTCGCACAAATAGTAAAGAAGGCAACATGCTTGATGACTATAACACAGTACAATTCCAATAACAGTCTCACACCTGAGTTTAAATGAGCTTCGCTCGAAAAAAAAATTTGGATGAACTAATTAACATATCGACCAAGGCTGAGGAGAGATCTATGATCCAAATTTCGTTTAGGACCCAAGATCCAAACATCAAGACAGGCACAATCCGGAATCCGGACCAAAATTTACAGCTGATCCACGATCCACGATCCACGATCCGCGATCCACGATCCACGATCCACGATCCACGGTGTTTTCAAAATCCGCGAATCCGCTAGATTTACCGCAAAAATCCACAGTCTGTGCGCTTTTTAGGGCCAAATCCGTCGATACGAAAACCTTTTCACCCCCCTCTATTAACATTATGAAATAGCTAACGAGAACAACCACACCATAATGGTTTACCTCTCGTATCTGCTAGCTCAGATACGCCGGGCGGGAAGAAGTAAATTGTAACGGCCTTGGTAGTTCAGTCAAGCAGAAAAAAGCAGAAAAAAGCATGAACATTTTGAAAAAAGCATATGAACATTTTGAAAATTCAAACGGCTGTCGTTTTTCGTTCAAATGATCGCGTCCAAAACAATTCAGTGCTCTTCGCCTTTCCTGATTGGTTGTTGAATTCAAGGACGTGACGTAACTGAATCGGTTTCATGCAGTGCCAAGTTTCGTCCGTTACATTGATCAGTCACCTCAGAGGTAACAGTACAAGCACTGAAGTCGCTCATTATTTGCACATCACGAGAAATACACATCCAGATGAAGCTGCGGCTTGTTGGCGTTTGCATTCTCTACCTTTCTCTTCCACTCGGTAAGTGTAAACAATAATTAGTTATATTATAGCAAAACTCTCCTGATATTTTTGACGTAACCCCCATTAAATAACAGCACTACATTTCAACAAATGGCAAAGCAACAAAACTCTCTAGGATTGATTGACTTGGTCCCTAAAATTACTTCCTCGCTTTGTTTATGATTAGATCGCGAAACTTCAGTTTCCGTGATCTAACTTATTGTTAACCTATGCACCCCCGCTCACGTTCCAATTTTTCCGTTACATTCTATTTACATGAGCCGCAGATTTCCATTTGAAATAACTAGCGAATCGCATCAGTCTGGCTTCCAATCAATTGATATCTGGGAAGGGAAAATTGTGAACTCTTCCTCGTAATGTCTTTTTGAATTAATTGTTTCATGAATTTTTAATCTAAGATATTTCTTTTAAAGAAACGTTGCTGTGCCATGGAGCCGTCACTGCAGGAATCCAAAAGCCGTTAACAATTTAATTCTATGTTGACATGTTAATCAAGTGGCCTCACAATTTTTGCGAATCCGTTAATAAAGTAAACAGAACTTTTGGTCACGAAACAGTGCATCGGTTTACTATAGAATTGAAATTTAAAGTCTCCCGTAGTTTTACCTTTGCTACAGTTTTACCGTTTTTATCTGGGTAAAAATTCTAGAAGTTTGAAGGAACCGTAACCCAGCCTAAACTAAAAGTTTACTAGCTAAAATTTCATAACTTTAAGCCCGATGCATCCAACCAAAGCGGCTGCAAAACCAGACAAAACGGTTTATTCGTTACAAGGTGAAAAAAATTTAAATAGAACCATTTTAACATATTAAACTATTGCTTCATATTTCGATAAGCCTGAAGAACGTCATCAGTTCTAAACCGTCTGAAATAATACGCTAGTTTCCTTGTCGAGAGAGTTTTTCCAAACAAGCGCTAGAAAAATATTCTCATGTTAATTGAGAAATCTTTTCAATGTGCATCGCAAATAGCGCTAAAAGTTTACATCAAATATTGGCTTTTCTTTCGCGATCTCAATCAACGGTTCTTTTGTTGCTTGCGGTCTGTTGTAATGACGGGCGCTATAACGGACAGCTCGCAACAAAAGCTAGCTTTGATCGGATGTCACTGAAACAAGTGAATGGCAAATACTTCTTAAATCTCAGACTATTTATAGCTGAACCTTCATTACATTATCTGACGTACTTTTAACTCCGTAGATTTTATTAACATTTCAGTATTATTGCCAAGCGCTTTTGACACATTCCTCTGGATCAGGAGATTGTGGGAGCACTTGCATTTGGTGCGTTAATGACATTGAATAAGTTCCTTCCTTCCTTCCCTCCCCTCCCTCCCTCCCTCCCTCCCTCCCTCCCTCCCTC